GGAGGAAAGGGTTGCATTTATTATTTTGTTCACTTTTACTTTCATTAAAATGCAATTTGGCTCAAAGACTATCAACCTAAATCTCAAATTTTGCAGACTTAAAAATAAAAATGGTGCTAGTGGTGACGTACGGCATGTGCATGTGTTTGAATGCCAGGACTCCATCAGGAGCTGCGTTCCTGGCAATGGAGGTTCACTGGTCCTCAAACACCAGCAAAGTAGTGTCCTCCTCAAGACCAGTCTTTCAGGAGTGCATCCTATCTCTGGGATCCAAGCTGAAATTGCTTAACATGAAGGAACTGTAATTTATCTGTAGTCAGAGAGAGGCCAGGATTATATTTATATTTAATTAAAAATGAAGGGTTTTTTGTCAATTGAGTACCCAGAACCATGACTCATGCAAGATTTGTGGATACTTCTTAAAACATTGCCTTGTTAAAATTATATTCTGCTCTTGACGTTACATGTACTCTGTTTTCACACAGGGTGATGATGGGCCCCAAGAGTTAGCAGAAATTTTCTTAGGGGAATATGAACGGTAAGAAGGATTTCTTCCTCAGTTCTGCTGAAATGGAGATTATTTGTCCTGAGCAGGAAGTGTTTATAACTGCAGGATGGCCAACCAGCTTTAATCAGAATATTTTGGAAAAGAAAATCTGTGACTTGGTCACCTGTCTTCATCCTCCCCCCAAGTTGTACTAAGGAGGAGGGAGTCCTCTTCCCCTCACACACCAAACTGCCCCGATGAGAGGAAGAAGCCGTCCCTAACACCTCCCTGGGGAAATCCATCTACCCTGAACACAGATCCGCAGTCAACTTCCTCTGAAGTACCTCCACATCCTCTCATTCCCACAGAAAGTGTAATAGACTCATCCTTCGAACTTCACTTAGGAATACCCAGAAAGAACCTCTGTGGGGTAATCTGCAAGACGAAGGTGTTGAAAAAGGGAAAAAAAATAATAAAAGAAGTAGACCAAAAAAAGGACTTTTTTTTCTTCCTTCTAGGTTGGAGAGGTTGAACCATGTCTCCAAGCAGTACCTACCTGATGGAGATGCTAACCTCTATAAACTCCACTGCCCCAGTAAAGAGCCTGCCAGACAGGCATCTGCCCCAGGAGGTGGCAAGATGAACAACATCCAAGGGAAAAATCCTTGTGTACGCCGTTTCCTCGCGCTTAGTCTGCCAGTGTGGAAGATAGTAGCAGACTTTTACAACTTGACCAGCTTAGAGGGCTATACACGTATCCCAAAAGCTCATGCATTAGAGGCTAATGATTTCAATTAAAAAAAAAGAAAAAGTAATATTTTGCTTTTTTAAGTCAGAGAGAAAGAGAGAAGTAAGGGGGACAAAGAGCTTCTTAAAGGATTTCAAAAAAGAATTGGAAACAATCCAGATACATTAGCTCAAGTAGCAACTAGTAAGAATGCTGTAAAAATGAGATAAATTCAACAGAGTTCCTACTAACTCAGGCACCAGGGTTTATGCTTGGTGAGTTTCTACTATCCTATCAGACCTCCAAGGTCACGCTTTCTGTTTTTGCATGCAACAGTATGCAAAATTCACACAGAACGAGCTCAGCTGCTAAATGGTTAAGTCTGCTCTACTGTCTGGCCACCAGTTGGCAACACAAAAATGCAAAATAGATCCCTTTCAGGATGTTTATTTTCACATCCTTCCGAAACTGATAACTTGCAATTGCAAAATAAACCTTCATGTGTGGCATATTAGCTCCCATTTTTCATGGTTTCATAGTTTAATTGTTTCAAATGTTACACTGGTCTAAAGATTTAATATTAAATATGTTGGCTCTTGCGTAAATTCTGTTGTCAGGATAAACGGTCTGTTTTGTCTTTCAATGGTTATCCAAGAAGCTCACAGCTAAACTGGAAAAATATGCTGTATTCCTGTACAGTGAACTTTAAATAATTGCTTATAATAAATTTAGTAGTAAGGATGCTAGTAGTTTTATTTCCTTAGTATCAAATATTCAATAAACTGTGGATATTGGGGGATATCAGAGAAGTAGTTTGCATTAATAATTTTGCAGTATCCTGACTATAATTTATTTCTGCTACAATTTGTAAAGTTATACTTGCCAGTTCAAGAACTAGAATAATTTTGTTATTATTTCCAGCATTAAGTATTGCACTTATGTTACCAACAGGATACTTCAATTTTCAGACTTAGGGCTCTGAACACTTAGTAGCAGGTAGGAAGTGTTACACATGTTTATAGGTGGGTAATTCTGGCAACATGTAAGGTCGCACAGAATCCCAACTCAGAGGTTTCTACATCCTTAGTCCATCCACTAGGTAAAGTGCGTATATTTTGCTGAATGACAGAGGACAACATAACAACTAGAAAAATAACTGTTTTGTTCTGCAGACCTCAAGTATTAGTCTATATGGTTTCCTTGTTAACCTGTTTTCCTTTTGAAAAGGATCAAAACAAAACTGTATGCTGTTTCCACTTTGAACCGTCGCAATTAGGTTAACTATACTCCTGACTCCCACTAAAAACATGAAATGTAATTATGAACAAGAGCACAATAGAGACAGATAGATCCCCCCACTCCAGCCCCTAAATTTGGACTTACAGTATGTTTTGTCAGTTAAGAAAACCCCTAAGTCTCGCTTTCTTTCTGGCTGCAAGGGATTTATACAGTTTAAAGTGTGAATTAAAACCAATACAAGGACTACCTCTGGCTTGACATCCTTCTGGAAGGTCCTGTAATTAACTCTGTTCTTTAGCTGTGAAATTGCCCAAGACCACTTGAGACAGAGTGAGACATTACCTTGGCAGAAAGAGATAAGTTAAGAAGGAGGGTTAGCCTTTGCTCTGAATTACCTGGGCTGTGGGAGCAGGTACAGATATTAAAAGAAACTCAAATGTTATTTTAAACACACGTTATCTATATTTAACTATTTCCCACTAAAACGTTACTATGTAAATAGATTCTCATCCTTTATCTTGAAGAGTATCTTTAGTGGATTTCACAGACTGAACTCAGTGATAACAAAAGTAGACCATTAGCACAGTCTGTTCTTTCTGCTAAAAATTTTTTCTCTTCTTGTGAAAAGTACTGCAGCAGGTCAAAGTGATCTTCTGTCCTCCCTTTTCCTACAATTTTGTTATTTGTTACTTTAGTGTGGTCCTTAGTATCCATTAGCTGCAGGAAAAGAAGAAAAATAATCTTGAGGAATTTATAGCGTTCAGAATGGGTATGGAATATAGTCATAGGCACAAGTTTAAGCCTGGTTAGCAAAAAACTGCACTGTGTGTTTATATACCCAACCATCACAAAATTCCTACAAACCCAAAGCCTTGCTTTGTATAGCAAATCTGGACTGTGTATACAACATGATTCCCACATATCTGCAGATCGGTTTGTTTTGTCTTTGCATAGGTATGGACCCTGAGCCACAGCAATGCAGAGTATTTCAGAAAACATACAGGTTTTTTGAGTGTTTCATTCACAGCAATGTTTCTTCTTTGTGGAAATCCTGGGCATTCCTATGGCTCACACCTGTAATTTTCATGTACTCTAAAACCAGCATCAGAGTTTCCTTGGTAGACACGAGGACTACAACACTGAATTTCTGGATCCCACTCTATCAGATAATTTTATAATTTGGGGAGAATTAAACCTATAGTCCCACTAGATTTTACAGAAATCAAAAGGAGTTACATTTGAACAAATACTAAATGAAGCCTTAACGAACGTATCCAAATCTTTCAGAGCAATGGATATAGCAAGTCTGTTACGTTATCCAGTTGTCAGCTTGACCTGGTAAAAGTGTGCCCAGTATTTTGGGATGGAGTCTTCTCTCCCTCATCCATTTAGTTTTACCTGTTCGTTTTCTGGAAGATAATTTCTAAGGCAATACGATGTAGTCATACTTCTGCTTTCATTCCCAGTCAGTTCAGTGGTCCAAATCCTTCAAAATCCCTATTTGAACCTCTAACATTAAAAACAACACCTGAGAATTATAGGAAAAAAAAAGACAGCTAAAAGCCAGCATCTTCCAGGCCCAGAAAAGCTCGTATCTCAATAAAACGAGCAGAACATCTGTAGGGACCATAATGGATAGAATTCATCTTAAAACTAGAAAATAGGTAGTAATAAACTGCTACTATCATCCATTATATTTCTTAAATTTAATTTGTGATATGCACTACAAATAACGATTCTACGAGCGTTTAAAAATGTAACAGTAAAAGCTTTCTTCTCTTTAAGCGAGGTATCACCCAGCAGGACAGTGAGAAAACGCAATGAGCAAATCTCAAAAAGAGAGAGAGTGGTTTACTTGTGGAGGCCGGCTAGGCGGTGTGCTTATTAGAGGTGCGGGGCCCATTGCAGAGGCTGCATTCAAGCTCCTTTCCCTTTCATCCTGGTAAATTCGATCTCGTTCGGCTTCTGGCAGCTGCAAGAAGTTCTGCATAGCCCGAAGGTTTACCAGTAAGGACTGTGAGGCAGTCTTGGGATCTTCTTCCTTTCGGAGGATTTCTGAGAGCAAGCCCTGTAGGGAAGGAATAAAAAAATACACTGGGGAGTTAGCCTAGGTGAGTTGCCTGTAAAACTTTGCTCTGCAACATCACTGCTTATCAGTCCTCTTTCTTCTTTCCACTGGGCTGAGAATGAGGGCATCAAATGCACTATTCACTCCACACAGGAATATATTAATGGCTTTTTAGGTAGCAGAGAAGAGAGCCTCAATTGTACCCTTAATTTTATTAAGCATCTGTTTTACATAGAACATAAACTGAATCTGCCTAATAGGTCTCCTTCCTTTTACTGGCTTAACTTGCCATGAAATCTTTCACAGCCGACAGACAATCACAAGACATTAAGAATAAGTGAAATACAGATAGAGGCATGACACTGGGGTGTTCTCAGGCTTCCCAGACAAAACACATAGCCAACCTAAAAAAATAGCTCTCCACATTTCTAGCAACTTAAACAGCTCTTTGAAAGGAAGTGGTATTTCACACCTAATCTGAGACAATAAACTTGCAACATTCCTGAAGTACTGCTGAACTGACTCAGGTCCATAGTTTTTATAAGTCAGTATTTTCTTTTGAGAGTTGCATATTGGAGTTTAACAACAAGTGAGGAAACACACTGTTGGATCCCAGTCCATCGCCTGGGTTATATATTTGAGCACCTGCTGTGCAGATCCCATTTCCTAAGTCCATTTACCATTGCTGTCCTCTGACCACTTTCAGAGTCCAGCCACGATAAAGTGAGCACTGGGGAGTGAGAGGAAACCCACATACAGGGCATCCGTAGCAGTGAGCCAGAGATGGGCAGGCTGCAGGCAATAGCATGCCGCCAGCAGCTTGTACAGATCACACCAGGTTTCCTATGTGATCATTTCATCTCAGTTCTCAGCAATGGAGCAGGTCTGGTGGCCTGGGACACCTCATTACTCTAAAAGATGAAATATTTATGAACCCCTGAGTGCAACAACTTTAACGTCAACAGGTTCTTGAAAATTCCCCCCTGCTAAATTCTCCTTTTAAGTATGTCAGGCATACAAAATGCTCTACTGTCTTGAAGTAACAAGGTGATGATAAGAAAACTAACTTTAGCAAAAGCAAATGTGAACTTCTTTTCAGAATAAATGCTGTTGCCATGCTGGGACAAGGAGAGGGTTCATACGAGAGGCTTTTATTGCTAGTGTAACAAGGGAACAAGGATGTGATTTTAAAGAAATAACACAACCCAATATTTCTTTTCCTAAAGAACTTTTGTAGGTTATTTGGGATAATGGAAGGGTGAACATAGGGAGGGAGGCAGGCAATAAAAAACATAAAATTAAGAGAGGCAATCCTGACTGAAGATATCCTTTCCTAGGGGAGTGCAACAGAAAGCTACAGCCCAAGCATCAGCCTCTGTAGGGAAGTCTGATGCTCACAGCACTATGGAAGTTGTCACCTCTCTCAGAGGCAAAAACCCCTTATGAGGGTGCTGCTACAAAGCCACTGCACTCAGGCAGCTGTGCTTAGGTAGGGTTAGAGCCCACCTAGTGCGGCTTTGAGCTCTGCATTTGCCCAGTCACCCCTCCATCTCTCAGGGGAGATGAGGACAGAGGTACTAATCACCAGGCCAGTGTGGTCCTCATGGCCCTGCCTGTGCTTGCACACGTAAGAGGGAAATGGGATGGAAAACACAAAGTGTTTTCCAAAGCACTAAACTTGAAAAATAATCTGGAGGAGGATTAAAAAAAAAAAAAAATCCATTGGGATACTTTCTTACCACTATCCCTCCTCTTTTCTGGTATCCAGGCAGAAACTACTCAGAAGGTAAATAAATGGGTTACAGACAAAAGTGGCATTTGGATAAGTCTTAAATTTTTTCATAATGATTAGTCTAAGAATAAATTTATTTATTTATTAGCAGATATGGAAATTAATTTCTCATCTACCATTTTTTTCTACTTCTGGGTACTCAACTGTTACCATTGCTTGTCAGTGGTAGGGTTACACAACCCATCCTCCACGGGAGGCAGAAAATTATTCTGTGCTACTGGACACAAGGCAAAGCTGTCTGCAGAGCACAGGATACATGATGGAGGTAGGTGTAAACACATGTGATTTCTGACTCTTACTGTGCTTAAAACAGCCACACCAGGATTAAAAAGAAGAAAGAAAAACTAAACTCAAGTGGACTGATCACTGGCAGGAGAGGAGACTCCTTATAACAGCCAGCCTACTGTCAGCCACAGGAAATGTCCTTGAAAAATACTTTAGCCCATCACAGAAAATATTTGCTCGTATAAGCCTTTGCCACATAGTGTGCAGCTAAAAAAAGCAGAAAAGTCTGTTTTTCTTGTATAACTTTCCCCCCCTCACTGAAATATGTAAACAAAGAAAATTGGGGTTTGTATTTTTCCTGCGTTCGTCAGTATAACCATTGCTGCAGGACACCTCTTGGTGATTAGAAATGCCATTAAGTATTCATTCCCCTCTCCTTCCCCCATCACTGCCATGACTCTTTGCATGAGCTGAGAGCAGAGCAGAGGACACAGATGCAGAGAGAGGAGGGGAGATGAGAGATCGGGGAGAAGGCAAGGAGGAGGTGTTTGCTTCTTAGGAGCTTTGAACCTAAAGGTCAGAATATGTGAGGAAATAAACATGAAAAATAAAAGTGTAATACCATGTGCAGGCAAGGCGTTACAATACAATTTGCCTGCTTTGAATATTACTTCATTGCCACTGCTTCAATTTTCTTAGCACAAAACTTCATCTAAAGATTGTTAGACAAGATGTAAAATGGGAAAATCCTAGAAAGAAAACACCAGCTCTCACATCCTGCCCCAAGCTGATGGGCAGAGATTTACTGTTCATTTTACCAGGCCTGAACTGTTTTGCCGAGATACAAGTCCTGGTGTAATCTCCTGATATTGTACCTCAGGTTGCATGAAAATTAAAATGCTGTTTTGCACAGAGATTACAAACGCAGGCTCAGAGTCTTCCTCACTGTTCCTCCCTTGTATTATTTTCACACTGGAAATGTATTTTCTTAAAATATTATTAGGTCCCATTGAAAAAAGAAAGTTTACATGTCATCAAAGTATAATTATTAATTGCACAAAAAATGTTCAATAAATATTATCAGGGCTTTCAAAAGCTAATTATGAATTATTTAAAAATGGATCTAAATGAAAGTGTCTGCCAATATGAACAAAAACACTGCCTGTCTGGCCCCCAGTTTGTCTCCTCTTTGAACATAATCACTGATTCAAACAGATTTTATCAGCCTGACAGAACTTCAAAGCTCCCAGAAGAAAAATGCAATTTGCCCAAACCTCCCCAAAACAAGCAGAACATCCCTGAGTGCTATCCCTTTCCATTGAAGGGTGCTCTCATCCCATGTCCAGGTGGAAGATTATTTGCAAGCTCCACCCACAAGCCTGGATCCCTGCCAAGTAAGTTACAAGCAGACACATTTATCTATGTCGCTTAGTAGCAAGAGGAGAGCTGTCATGATAGTGTAATAGCACCTTTTTACCTTTTATTCAATAGTGATATGGATAGTGTGCTTTTTCTTAAATTACACTACGAAGAATTATATGAATACAGTGGCAATTTCTGTTATACTTAAGCAGGCAAATTTCTCTCTACCACATAATTTACAGAACTCAAATTCAATAAAACATTACATGATGGTCCATTACTGTTATCAATTTTGAATAATCCATCTTCATTTTTCATTTTACTGGAAAATAAAGTGTGCCAAAGACAAAGTGGAAGAAAGAAAAAGTGCCTCAGAAGGTGGTTTGTGTAAACTTAGATTTTGTTTTAAAATTACACAGAGCCGTTTACTGCATCCAAGTGTTCTCCCTCGAAATAGCAATTGCCCAGAATTAGCATGAGCACGGTCCTAAATACACAGAATTTTTCACGTATGAGAAAAGGCATTATACATGAACGAAAGGCAATGTATCCTGGCAGCTAATATTTTAAACAAGCATGGGGGTGAAGTAGAAAGGAGGGGGAGAGAAAAGGTATCTGACAGAAACACTGCGAAGTACTCAGAAACCTTGAGATGAAAAACTGTCACTGGTGGGAAGAAGAAAAATTACAATAGTCAGACATGGCAAAAGCAGCAAAAATCACTCCCCCTCCTTTCACGAAGATGGAGCTGAGAGGTCACCTCCGTACAGCAGCACTCAAGTTCATGTAGCAAATGTTATGGTTGAAAGCATACACAAACAGAGACAGGCAGCCCCAAGTTACAGTTCCAACCACAACCACGACTAACACAATTCCTTGCTCGCGCAGTGCATCTACGCCACTCCACCATGCACCAGGTTACACTACGTCTTCAAGTCAAATATCAGACTTGCTTGTGGGAACCCAAACTTTCCATTTCCTGACTCATGTTTACATTTACCAACTCATGACAGAAATGGTAGAGGAGTTTGTTTGTTTAGGGCTTCAAAGGTGGTTCAGCCAAACAAACACTGATGCTCCACTCCAGCTCCCTCAAGAAGAACAAAAAGTACTGGCAACAAATCCTGGCTTGCGTGGCCAGCAAGGACAGGGAAGGGATCTGACCCCTGTACTCGGCACTGGTGAGGCCGCCCCTCGATTCCTGTGTTCAGTTTTGGGCCCCTCACTACAAAAAGGACATGGAATGACTCGAGCGTGTCCAGAGAAGGGCAACGGAGCTGGTCAAGGGTCTGGAGCACAGGTCATACGGGGAGCGGCTGAGGGAACTGGGGGTGTTTAGTCTGGAGAAGAGGAGGCTGAGGGGAGACCTCATCGCCCTCTACAGCTCCCTGAAAGGAGGGTGCAGAGAGCTGGGGATGAGTCTCTTTAACCAAGTAACAAGTGATAGGACAAGAGGTAATGGCCTCAAGTTGCACCAGGGAAAGTTTAGACTAGATAATTAGGGAAGCATTTCTTTCCAGAAGGGGTTGTTAGGGGTTGGAATGGGCTGCCCAGGGAGGTGGTGGAGTCCCCATCCCTGGGGGTGTTTAAGAGTAGGCTCGACATAGCGATGAGGGATATCGTGCAGGTGGGAACCATCAGTGTTAGGTTAATGGTTGGACTAGATGGTCTTCAAGGTCTTTTCCAACCTAGACAATTCTGTGATTCTGTGAAAGTAGAGAACCTCACAGTTTAAGTGCAAATTTGCAGGAGTAGGCTGAGCCTCTCTGCTGATGGGAAGCCGTGGCAGAGGCTGGCACAGGGCACCATACTTTGTGGGGCTGCCCCGATGTATTGGTGGCATCACCCCATGGGCTGCTCGGTGCCACCCAGGCCAGTGAGCTGATGACAAATGCCATTTTCTGGCCAGCAAAGTGCAGGAAAATATTGAACTCGCCCTTTCAAGAGAGCGGAGGTGTCTGAACAGTGCACTGTCATCAGCTGGAAAAAATACTATGTTTATTAATTCGCTCAAATGGTAACTGAAACATAAGTAGCTCAATTTACCAAAATTACCCTAGCAAACAGAGAGACCAGTAGAAACATTGGTAGCCATGCTTGAGGTGAAACTCAGATTTGCTAGCACAAATCCTGACTCAACAAACTTTTCCACAAAGAAATGCTAAACAAGATTCAGTCTGTTTCTTTGCAGCCAGTGAGCTGGAAATGCAACTGCTGAAGGACAAATAAAACTTCAGACACCACTGCACTCTGAAGCCTTACTAGAAGGACCAGTGTGAAATTTCTCATGGGAAGAGGTGCTCCACCCCCCGAAACTGTTTCTTCTCCCTACAGCAACTGGTGCCTGTACAGATGTTAATTTTAATTCAAGTTATAACTCCCTAGACTCCTCTTTGATTAAACTTTGCAAGGTACATTCCTGGGAACTACACATTTTTGAAACTACCATTTTGAATTTAAGGGGAGGGGAGGATTTAAGAAGATATTAAGGATACCCTTTCAATTTTCTGAGGTGTGACTGAGGCTTTTTTTCTGTCTTACAAATAGATGATAATTAAGAAAAAGACACTCACCCTATTTTTCAGAATTAATTTTACCAAATTCTTTCCTTTGAGCTGGGAAGAGGTAGAAATACTTCTAGTCAACTTTTTTTATTCCCAAATCAAAAGTTCTTGAAAATTAGGGCCAAGTGTTGAATTACCAAACTAAACTGGTAGAACCCACCCTTCCCATCCCAAATCACCACCAAATTCTGTATTCATATTGCAGAGCACAAGTCTGTAAAACAAGAGGTGCCAACATCTTTAGTCAACTCCACCAAAGTCCACTTTTATTGGCAAAGCATTAAGCTATAGTTCACTTCCTTCCTTAACTTTTATGCTGAAAGCAAATCTCCTCCCCTCATCTGAAACTGTATCTCAGCATGAGGGTTTTTTTGCACAGAACTCCTAACCGATTTCACTGAGATCTTCTGCCTTTAAAAACTGATGGCAACGATATGGTCCCTGGACAAGGCTCAAATATGCTTATGACAGTTTCAGAAATGTCAGTGGTAAACCTGAGTTAGCTTTTTATCTCAGAAAACAGTAGAGGAATTTAAATAAACATTTTCACTTGCTCTAGGACAAAAAAAAAAAAAAAAAAAAAAAAAAAAACAAGATATTACATCAATATTAGAAAATAACTTCTAAATTGCATCACTCATTAAAGTGACGCCCTAATTTTAGTTAAACACGAAGTATCCTTGAATAAGCTGTGATGAATTCCAAAGTACAGCAAGCAGAGCGAATTTAAATGTTTTCAAATAATAATCATGGATATCTCCACCTATGTTTATACCCAGACATTAGCTGTTACTTGGGGTAATATGAACAATTTTCAGTTCTGCGAAGGTGAAATGTACCAAACAACTAACTCCTCTGGATTTCAGTGGGGCTTCCCTTCATATGAAAAGTATGCTGAGATATTCCTTGGCAATGCTGAGGCTAATATCATCTAGGCTCCTAGTATTTTTCCTTTCTCTTCCCTATGTATGCCACAATACATAACAAATACTGCCAAACCTTACGCAGCTAACTGCAAATACTAATTTGATTAGCTAACAGAGCTTGGAGGATACATGGATACTACTCTATGTTCTTTAAAATAGAATTGTTTGAAAATTGCCAAAATATATTACATATGTTCATTACGTTCAATTCATATCATTTGTTTTCAACGTTCATTTTGGGGTTTCCTCCCAGTTTTAGGTCACTGAACACATTTCAACAAGCTGGTTAACCACAATGTCTGTGGAAGAATTGAACTTTAAACAAATATTGAATAACATTTGTAGTAAGAAAAATATACAGTAATCAGGAATCAGTATTTGCACTAGAAATCTGGTTCTACAGTTGCATTCATCACATTATTTCAGGTAACAAATACCACTTTGGCACAAATGATAGACCAAAAGCTGTATGCAAAAACTGAACAAATTACACTGGAGGGGGAAGAAAGTTGAGAGAAAACAAGCCATTTCTAGGTAAGTCTGAGAAAGAAGTAAATATATAATAAACTATTTATTTTCTGAATTATTTGCTTGGCTTTTTATCCAGATAAAATGGCAGCCTCAAGCCACTGTAACTTGAAGCTACTATTACTATTTCAACACTTCATAGTATCAATAATGAAAATATTAAACACTGTATTAAACACAACTCTATGTCAGTTACTTGTAAATATAACAACTGACACTGCCTGGACCTAACTTACATAGGTAATCCTTGCATGAATTCACGCATCCCATGAAATTCTGTACGCAATACCCAGATCTTGAAAACCTCCACTGCTGTTAAGAGGAAAGAGACACAGACACACAGAGCTCTACAGAGAATTTACACCATGACTGTACTTTCTTTTAGCTAAAGGAGGATGTAAAAATTTTTAAGACAATAATAATTCAGATCAATTACAAATGAAATGCTGACTCAAACCTGGTACCAATGTATTTGAAACAGAATTTTTATTCTCTAAGATACGCAGGGAGAAACATCAACATTTCAAGAAGAGCCGAAATTATGGGGTTTTTTACTATATTCTACAATGGACAAATACTTGTTCCTTAAGTTGGAACGTGGAATCCAAAGCAAATTTACCTGTGTGTTTTTTAAATATTTCCCTAGTAAAAAAATTTCCTATTTTATTTTCTGTTAAAACAGACTTCTACAATTTTGAGATCTTATTATTTGCATTAGATATAGTGACATTTCTTCCATAATTTCTGCTTGATTAAATTCCATGCAACATGGCATTAAGTTAAATTCATAGAGCAGAATAAATTATAACAGGGTTAGCTTCTAAAACAGGTGTAAAAAATAACACATTTTAGTGTTACTTATCAGCTTTGCTAGGGCTAGCTTCTCCTGCATTGAAGAGCTGAAGTATATGTTCTGATGTGGACATTGGCAATCTCAGCAACTACTGTTTTTGCAACAAACTACAAAAATATATGAAAAGAGTAGATGATCTAAAAATAAAGCTTTTATTTTTTTAATCTTTTCAGAAGCCTGAAAAGATGTTATTAAGACTTTTGCTAGAAAATAATAAAAATAAATGCAAACAAGAATAAAAGACCATCTCCAGTATACCTGTGAAAGAAGACAAGCTGTTCAGTGTACGCATGTGGTCAGTATGGGTATACCTTTACAACATAAAAGGCAATTTGTTGGGTGACTCTGTGAATGGTTCTGCATAGAGCTGTTCATTTCCTTTCCAGGGAAGATTCAGCTATGCATAAACCATCACAACGGGAGAGGAACCAAGGTGTCTGTAAGAATAGTGGATATTTCCACAAACCCATCACTGAAGATTTCTGTACTGTATCCACACCGGTCCTGCAAGGAAGTGTAGTTCCCTCACAGGAGCTAAGTGACAAGGCAGAAATGAGGAGAGAGACTTAAAAGGCTATTACTAAATAATAGAGAGAGAAAGAAGAGACTCTTACGATTTAAAAAAAAAAAAAAAATAGAAAAAAGACGACTGACCTGAGTTCGGTTAAAAGCCACACGTGCAAATACTGCCTGTGAGATTCCTGCTCGTTTCAGTTCATCACGGACCCACTGATAGATTTCGGAAGACACCTCTGTGTTTGTTGAGACCTGCTGCTCCAACGGCTTGTTCATGGATCTACTGACAGGAGGAGGGTGGTTCAAGTACTGTTGGTTTAAGGACTGCTGGGCTAGAAGTCTGTTCACTGCATACTGCTGGTTCAGCAACTGGGCCATTACCAGCTGCTGATTTACCAGCTGAGGGCTAATGGGAGTAGATACAAGTCCAGGGTGCAGGTTTGGAAGAGGGGTCCGAACTGACGGTTGACTACCATGAGAAAGCTGAACAGGGGATGGAGGCTGTTCGGCTGTGTTCCCTGGGACCGGCTGTTGACCGAAGTTGACATGGTTGGCACCTTGCTGGGATAGTTCAGAAAGGCTATCCATCTCAACTATGGTGGAAAAGAAACATTGAAAAAGCCAACATAAGACTGAAAATCACAAACTTCATGCTCCTTGCAAGACACACTAATAAAAAATAAACAAATACAAAATGGTGAATTCAGGTTTAAGCTTACTGTACTCTCCAGCTTAGCTCACCAGTTGTGGCTACTTGCCTTCAAAATTTACCTACAAATAATGCTGTAGTGTGTATTAAAAAAAAAACAAAACAACAAACAAACTATCCAGCAAACTGCCCATCATCGTCACTGGGCCCTTGGAGGAACCAGCAGAACATCAGAGGCAAAACCACATGCTGGAAACCATGTATGGCAAAGGAGTAACTTCCTGAGAGTTTTGCAAAGGCGAGTGTGTGGCTGCAGAGCGCATCCCTGCAGTGTTGGATGCAGGGGACATCAGACAAGGCAGTAAGCAACTATAGAGGGGGCAAAGACAACTGATGGGAAACCACTCTATACGCTGTAGAAGATGCAGGTGAAACGCCAAGTGCATCTGCGCCAAGGGTAAGGGGGGCTGTTACGGGAATGAACACCCCAACAAGAGAGAGAGAAGCCCCAGCTGACTGGTTTTGTTCCTCCCATGGTGTCCCCACCACGACATCTGCAGTTCCCAGACACTGGAAATCTGTAACAAGCAGGGTGGGGTGTGGACCTCCTCATGCTCTGCTAATTTCTAGATGCTGCATCAATTGTATGGGACTGCTAGGAACTAGTATAATTTATGTAAATTACACAGATGGGCTGCTTTATCTTGCAACCATGTATGCATGGTTTTTTCAGTGACTTGCAACATGGTTGAATTTTTTTCTTGTATTAACTCATCTGCCTTGACACACCCTCCTTTTTAATTAACAACACAGTTTTTTAAACTACAAGAGTTCTTCCAGCTCCCCTCTTGTGCATGATAAGACAATATAAAATAACTCTAGGCTGATGTAAAGGAATCTCCTTTTTATCAATGTATGTCACTTTTTCATTTTAAACAATCTTAGTTCTAGAGCTTTAGCAATGCTGGTCTGGAAATAGCCTCAAGAAAATATGCTTCATTTAAAAACCATAACTCCAGTATCTTCACAAAAGCGTTGTAACAATTTTCTTCTTATACTAGTAAAGCATGTTGTTTTAAAAAAGGCAGTGTCTGAGCTTTTCACAGTAATTATGATCTTCACTAACAGTCATTCAGTACAAGACCACCCCTTCCAGCACAGGGATGAGAGTTGGAAGAAGAAATCGGCACCTGGATTCCAACCCACAGCCCTGCCATCCTCCTCTGTCCTATCATAGGCAGAAATTTAAAAAATAAAAAGCAAGCCAGCTGTTCTGCAGAGAGGTCTGGTGTCCACAGCCTGGATCAGTCCCCCAGCAGAGCACCCACTGCTCCTCATCTGTGCGGCTTTGGGGGCAGTGCTGACTCTCCCCCCAGCATTATGTTACACAGGAATACACACACACACACGCATATGCACTGGCTTCATTGTCCCTGAATGTGAATAGACAGTGAACCTATCTTGGCAGGTCATGCAAGGGAAATTTTGCAGGAGCGCTGCCACAATGGAGATGGGAGAGGCTGCTCTAGAAAGGTCACCCTCCCATATGGACCATATGAAACGAAGAGAAGTCTTACCACCGACTTTGGTGGTCTCAGAAGATGGGTTCGGTGTTGCATTGAAGGTGAAAAAATAGATAAAGGAAACAAGCTGTCTTTTTTCACTAGCGGAAAGTAGAGATCAACCCAAGTGGGCCATTCACTTGGAATAGTAATTCAAGCAATTATCACAGAAGTGATGCATTGTCTTCATTACAGCCTTAAGCTATAAAAGGCAAGGAACCCGTTTTGGTAGATGAATGATTTTGCTTCAAATACCGAAAACTAAGTCAAGCTCAAAATTCAATCCAAATTGAGGTCCAGCTTCTTCATTGTGTTGAAAATTATGTTGAAATTTTTTGACATAAAGTGTTCAAAATTACATTAACAGGTTTAAGATATAGTTTTAAAAAGGGACAATACAGAAAGATAAAAGGTATTACAGAATTAATATGTCCCACTGATGGATATTCTTCTCCAATAATTTACTTGTGCTTACTACAACAAACAAACAATTGTCACAACTATTTCTTAAAATGAATTGAAATCTGGGTCCCAAAGTTAGAGAAAGATACAAATTTATAAAATTACAGCATTCTTATTGTAAGGCAGTAATAGTTATAGAAGCCTGTTTCTTTAAATATACATTAGCCGGAGCAATAAAAAAATACATACATTAAAAAAATCAGTCCTTCACAGTTCCAGGAACAGGTTTTTTAAACAATTATTCTGGGCGGTAGAAGATCTCTAGATTTGCAGAATGACAGCTTTACATCTCTGGCAACCCAAGTCAGTTTGGCTGTTTCAATAGCAAATATTTATTTAAATGAATTCTTTCAGTATATACGTACTTTCTACATCTACTCATCAAAAGCATCCTAAACTTATCGTGAAGGGACCTGGCTTCTTATATGACTGTGACAGACCTCAGTGTGACACATAATGGTATGTATCCACCATCACAGCAATTTTTTTTTTTTTTTTTTGCTTACCCATCATATCTTTTGCCTTCTTGAAATGTTTATACCACCTTCCAAATTCCTGACATTTTGCTGCTGAGACATTTGCATAGTAAGTGCTGTTCACAATGGAAGAAATCATACTCTGTGTGAAAAGGGGAGAAGAAAAAAAAAATCCGTAATACAGAGCAGTACAAATCAAAGCACAAATTATTTCAATTGTTAAAACCACTATATTTTTAGAGTTTGAGAACCATATTCCATTTTTAATCCTATTGTCCAAAGCCTTTTAAAAAACTCATTAATTGAGCATAAAAAGTAACCAAGGTATATTGTAAATGAGAGCAAAAAAAGCAGATGTACCTCAGGAAGAACAAAGTTATTGACCAAGAAACATCAGGCAACGGGATGGGCTCTGGACGGAAGATGGTAATCTTGAAAGTGCATTTTGATCATACTATTTCTACTTTTAAATTTGATTGACCCTTTGTGTACCCACAGAAGTTTACAGGCACGCAAATCCTACACTGAGTCCAAAAATGCAAGCAATGCCCTGTTACCCATGCCCATTCCCTTTGTGGCACTTATTACAGGGCAGACCCCAGAAAATTATAGGATGAAAGTTTACCTGAATGACCTATTAGTAGGATAAAATAAAGGGGTATATAGTAGAATAAAATATGTATGCAACAACCCAAAATGAACCCAGACTTGCTTTTCCTAAACAGGGTATTTTAAGTGATTCGCAGAACAGGCTTATGAAAAGCTCTTATTGTCATGTCTAATTCTGTAACTGAATATTAGCTGTAAAATAGACCAAAGGATGATAGAGATGATTTTTTCTCAAAGGTTCTCGAGATATCAGATAGCTACAGTGAGAAATTTACCTTCTGCTCGGTTTTGACCAATTTTAAAATAGTTGAATTTACAATGCATAAAACTTTCAGTTCCAGTACATTCTTTTACAAAATCAATTAAGACTGCGCCTTGCAAAATGAGATAATGCTCCAACTTGAAAATTATGCTCAGTATATGATGTATGAACAACAAAATTAGCAAATGTAATGTCAATACACTGAACTTTGCCACCCTTTAGATTTGTATGTGGAAAGTAGTTACTTTTAGTTTAACTACAGGAATTGTCCAGCATATTGAGAAAACAATTGACAGTCAAGAAGACAAAGCCCTGATTATTTTGTTTCTTTGCTATTCAGCATGTAGCATTTAGCTATATTTGTGCTTTCGTAAAATCGATGTACAGCATCAACCCTTTGTTACACAAACTGCAATAACCACTGGAAAAAAAAGGAGTTTGAAGTAGAAATGCAATAAATATTACTATAAATCGTCTTTTATAAGGCTAGTTCAGCTTCTGGGTAAAAGTACCTTCATTACTGATCTTAGTGAAGTTCATTATAAGCATTTTCTAACATATTACTCAGTAACAAGCTATTTGTGGAGGCTCAGAACTGCTTGAGTGAGGCAGTATTATTTTTGCCAAATGTGGATACCCTCTACTCACCAGGCAGCTATTTTAATGTTTATCTGAATCACCAAAATTCTTACCATTCCTTGTTATTAATGTGGCATTTCTGAAATTAGCTAGAAGTCTTTTTGTCAGTGGTAAAAAAGGAGAATGAAATCTTAATAGACTACCGCAACTCTACTCTGAATGACCTGAACCAAGCTCAAGCTGAACCCAATTTCAATTTCCAATATTGTAGCAGTACCATTAATGTCTAATACTTACAAGATTATTGTTTAAGCTTTTTTACAGACTAAACCATTTTAAACATGGGCACATGATACATAATGCATGATTTAAAAAGTCCTTTGGACTTGAACTGTTAAATTATAAGAACACACAGTTACTGTACATGCAAAACCTGCAGATCTGTATGTGCAAAATGGGGAAATGCACATGTAATGGGTCACCATCCCATATTAGCTTGTGCGTATATTGTGGGTGTTATTTAAGCTTCAAGGTGGTTTTCTCTTATTTCACTTTGCCCCTTTCAGATATCTTCTCCTGCCCGAAAAACTTTAGTAAGTATAAAAACATGTATATTAATAATAATTTTAGTAAACTACTTATTATTGATGAAGGTGTTTGTCTGTGATTTCCTAGACCTCACTCCCATGTCATTTTACAAAGATAGTCAATGACATGGCAGTTTGTGATATCCCCTGCTTCTTCAGGAATAAATTTAATGCAGTTACTTTATTTTATAACCAAGTAGGGGACTGGTCTGTTTAAATAACACTGCTAGGAATTTTAGCTTCTTTGACACAACATGAATTCCAGTCTGTGGTAGCTTATATTGGGATTTTACTCCAGCTCTTCAAAGTAAATAAAAAAACCCCACAGATATTATCAACACATTTTAAAATGAAAATTATCCTGCTTTTTCTTCAAGAACACTTCATGCAAACATTGAAGTGATATTACTTGCACTAAGAATCCTCATCAGGAGGAATCAATGATTTATTTACTAATTCACTGAAGGCAAAATTTTACAAGCCAGATAAAATATTACTACCTTGTTAACTCAGAAAATAACTCGACAACATTGAATTTCATTGTTTCTATGCTTTATTTATTGTCATCAAACCTGCAGTCACATCAGTGCAGACAGATGCACTTTGCTATAGAAATTTCTATATAATTCCTATTGCTGTAGAATTACTATATGTTTTAATGGCAATCTACATATATGAATGCCCACTATGCTTAGGGCCTAAAAGTGAAGATTAACCCTATGAGTTAGTGGTCTTTAGAGATCCATGATCTAGACTGGAAGCATATTGAAGTTTTTCTTATTTCCTGGGTCATTACACATGAGGAGCTTCCCATGTCTTGACTTATATTTAGCAATAATCAAAATGAAAATTATTGTATTTGAAACACATCATATTCAGGTACTACTGTACATAGGCATTCCTTATCTGTGGGGCATAGAGGCAGATGCTTTCCATGTACAAGAATGATAAATATATCACACAAATATTCAAATGCATCACATTCATCAATCATAATCTGATTTCTTTTTCACATATTGCAAAGAAAATTGACAGAACGCAAAAACTAGTCACAGATCCACAGTCTTAATGTATCTCCAGAAGTTTGTCCTTGAAAGCAAATTGTGAGACCTCAAGATCGCAAATATCCCTCTTTCCCCTCTCTGCATCACCCCCCCTCTCCCCACAACCACATCACTTGCAGTCCTGTTCTGAGAATCAGGAGATCTCATCTGAAATGGTGCCACCTTCACAGAAATCCCACTATTCTGGAATGATACCATCTGCTGCAGCCCAAGTGCTCTTTTTTTAGCCAAATAAGTTAATTATAATTAGGCATCCAACAACTGTGTGGAGGTAGGGGTAGAATTTGTTCTGAAGTTCAGCTGAGGTTCACCCAGTGTTGTTTGAACCAAATCCCATTCCCTCAGGAAGATTAAATAACTGAGATTTGAAAACCAGACACTGTCATTTCTCAAAGAAGTTGGGGAACTCCCTGGAGAAATATCTAAAAATCTCAACCAGAACTCTTTTCATATGCCCATCAAATAAAACCCGGTAAAGCGGTCGCATCAGACACCTTTTGTACTGTGCCAGAATCTAATGCAAGGTGCATCCTGTCCTGCAAGACGGGGGAAAGACCCGCGCCTTTCGTGCCGGCTGGTTGCTGCAGCCACTGCTGCAGGTGCTACAAGGGAGGCATTTCTGAGTCATTGCCTCTAACACGGCTCTCCAACCAGGTGAAGTATTGTTCGAGCATCGCTAAAAGTATACTGTTGTCCTTTTTGCAAAACAACAAAAACAATGTTAATCAGGTTAATTCAATCATCTAAACCAAAACTGTTCATGCTTTTCTGCCAAATCAACCAACCACAGCAAAATCTGTTATCAGTGATTGCTCAGCTTCCAGTCAAAAAAGCTTTTAACCCCCACAGTCCCAAAACTTCCCCTAAATAACCTTAAAATTATTTTTATATGGGCAGAATGAGGTTGTTTTCATGCCTCATGAAGGGGTAGTTGGGCTGCAGGATTTACACAGAACAAATACATGCTAACAGACTTAGGAGAGAGTAACAGACACAGCAGCTTCCTAAAACAACTCAGCTGAATTAGATATCAGGGATTCCTTTGCAACTGAAACATATTTCTCTCAAAAGGAGCATTGTAACCAAAACTTATTTAGGCCTTCCAGGTTGTTTAACCAGGAAAAAAAAATCCAAGCTTTTTTGCAACTCATTCATCGGTGTTTAAAGCTTCAAGCCTGCTCAGTGGAAGGGGCAAGGGCTGCAACAACTTATTTACACAATTATCTAAATACGATTAAACAGCTGATGGACAAATATTAAACTGGAAAATGTATAGTCATTTCAGCTTAATGTAATCCTCTTTCTGTAAACACCCAAGATGATTTTTTTTCAACCAGAACAGTCCTGACATCTCATAAGCCTAAGGGTGAATAGCAAGAGATTGTTTTTGATAGTTATAAATATTCAAAAGACATGCAGACCATCTGCTTTCATAATACAGGTAAAGCAAGACTGAAATGGTGACTGCTGTATAAAAATGGTTCTTTTAACAAAGTCTTCCTCTCCTCGAAAACTATAAAGACAGATGTCAAAAACTGTTTACACAGGGTAATCAGGAGCGTGCAAAATGTAATATTCCTTTTACACACAGTGCTTGCTAAAGAGATTTTTTTTTTTCTTTTTCTTCCCATCTGTGTGTTGCAACACATTTCTACAAGTTAAAAACATTTTTTCAAACAGAGATCTCATGAATACCCAAAAACATGCTATCTGGTTTCTGAATGCTAATTAATTTCAACTAAGGAATCTGATTTTTTTTCTGTAGGAAGGAATGCATGCTTTTGAAATGGAGTACTTCAACAATAACAGGCACTGAAAACAGAACACCCCACAAGTTTAATTTTGCACTAGTTTGACACTGGCTATTTTCACAACTGTTTTACATTCAAACCCGCATCTGCTAAATCTGGCTATAAGACAGACAGCAACTATTCTCCTGCTTTTCAAATGAGATTTTATTTATGTTTTACTATTTATCAAGTTTTTCAGTATAAAGCCTTGTAACAACATAATGGTTTTGTCAAGTGGTAAGTAGAAGATA